AACCATCTGATGTAAAATCTGATAGCTTCGGTATGTCACAAAATTCGATAAAATTTCTTTTCAACTTTGAGCTTAGTCAATGAAATAAATGCAACTATCCAATTTCACATCCAATGATCAAGATTAATTGTGACCACCTTGTACCAAAGTATATAATAGTCTCCTTATATACTTTCATATATAACCACAATTTTCATATAGCCAAAAATATAATGATCTCCTTATATACTTTCATATATACCCAATTTCACAGTCCTATTTTAGACAAAAGCCTTTTCAAGCCTCCCCTTAAGAACTTCAGTAACCACAACTTTGAGGTTACTCTTTTTTCTCTTTCTAAAAGTCCTTTTAAGAACTTCGGTAACCACAATTTTTCAGGTTACTCTAAAAGTAGAACATTGTAATCTATCAAATCCCTAGCTTTTTTTCTTTTTGGATGAGTAAGTGGGGAGAGGACCCCTATCCTAGATAGGAATTCAACGTAGGATATAGCATTGCAAATCATCAAGCCCTAACCAATTAAGTATAGGATCTATTACTAAATCGTAGTTGAAAGTTGAAATTTCCTTTCAACAAGATTCCTGTCAAAATCTAGGATTGCCTATAAGACAAGCTGATTGGAATGCAAATTACAAGATGAATTGTGGAATTTTCATTTTAGAGAAGTTGATCACACGTGATGCTCTGAAATTGAAGCGGTGGTTCATAAGGCTGATTGTATCCTAGAAGTATACTCACCTGAACTTTGTTGTGTCTTAATTTCTAACAAGTTAAGAATTTGTTTTAAAAAAAAAGATTTATAAATAAATAAATAAACTATCTCGTACATCCAAGCCTCAATCAAAATTAAAATGCCAGTCAGATTGACAAAAAAATTGAACATACCTTAGGAGAATTGTCAAGAGAAACGTGCATGCAGGAATGGCGTTTGGTGTTGTGGCCGCCAAGGTTGCAGAAGTGTATTTCATGGCAACGTAGTACAGATTCATGCTAAGACTAATCCTGCATTTGTATGTGATTTTACCCCATCATTTACTTTACCTCGAACTTTTTTTTTTCTTTCTAGATTAAATGGTCTCATTACATATATTTCCTTAAAAAAGCGACCCTCACCCTATTGAGGCCACCAAGAAAACTTTGCAGAAGATTGTAACCGTCATCGCATGAGCCTCTTTCCTGAAAATTTTCAAATTAAGATTTTCTCAAATGAAAAAGCATGTTTAAAAAATATCTCAAATAAATAAATATGTTTCAAAAATTAAAAGAAAAATGTGACGTTTCCGTGATGTCGGAATCGGTTTGATAATGAAAGAATTGGTTCCATGACGTCAGAACCAATACAGACATGTTTGAACTGATCGATTCAGGGGTGGATCATGTGGATCTCAATTTATTTTTGGATCTAGAACAATCAGAACGATTCTTGATTCAAATCGAGAGATTTTGGATTAGATCGTCGAATTTTAAACATTGATCTATAATAAATAATAATGGAACCAATCACAAAAAGTAAATGTATAAAATGAGACTATTTACTATTGGTATAAGGTGGTCACAATTAATCTAAACCATTGGATGTAAAATTGAGAAGGTGTATTTATTTCATTACTCAAGCTCAAAATTTAAAATAAATTTCTTGAATGTTATGATATATCCAAATTATTAAATGTCACACCGTATGGCACTAAATAATTGTGTGATCCTTGTTGTAAAGATAAATAGTCTTATCATATTTTTATTTCGAGCGAGATTTCAACATGAAAAGTAACATGAACAACAATAATATAGAATCTGCTTTAGGTAAAGAAGCTCGGCTTGGAGGGTCCCACACCAAAGAGCAGTGTGCAAAACATTGATTCGACCAAGGCGTGTTACGTACAACCCCAAAAAGTGGAAAAACAAAAGAGCTAAAAAGTGGTAAAAAATCTCTAAAAGTCATTAAAACTAAAAAATTTTAAAATGATTACTGAAATCTTTAGGAGACTAAACAAGATGAAAAAAAACTATAAGATGGATTATTGAAAAAGTG